GAATCATGTCAAACTACAGTGAAAAATTTGTCTATTTCAGTCATTTTAGTATTTTTAAATTTATTGTCAAGTTATTTATTTATTTGAACACACAAATATTGGTACAAAAAGGCATCAGATATATATGCGCCACAAAAAAGTTGTCATTTCATTTTAATTATGTCAGGCTGTGATACTTCCCGTGTGTCCAAATCGAAGCAGGTGGTTTTCTTAGGGGGCCACACCCCGAGCCTTCGACCTAAAGGACTGATCCACAAGGTAGTGGAGCATCATAAGAAGATGTAGTCCCATGGTAGCTGATGACCAACAATGGCTGAATACGCCCTTTGTCCCATCTGGATCCTGGAGTCCATGCAAACCATTCGTTTGGAATGAGGGTTTTCCAACTCCCCTAGGTGGACCTTTCGTGTCCGCCAGCCCGGTTAAAGCGTCGGACATTCTTTTTTCGTCCTCTCAATTTCGTAAACAACATCCCTGCCTCGAGAAAGCAGTGAGTTGGACTTCCCTGGCAGAGGCCATATACGCGTGAACGTGTGATAGCGTTTCTAGAGAAAGGGCGGGCCTTCCCCACTCTCAGCCGTACCAAGGCATTATCCTTAAACCTCCTGTTGTCGTTAAAATTATATATTTAAATTGTTTTGCTATTGATAGTTTTCATCTCTTGTGGTCATTGGTTCAATAAACAATGAAAACTCTTATATCATCACCATTGCTTATAATGCTTGTGACTTAAGACAATATCGAGGCAATCTGCACAGGAATCAAATATGTAAACAAGAGACTGATCAATTGTAGACCTAAATATCAATGAGAAGACTCAAACAACCGGTAAGAAAACTTTTATATGTTTAAATTAACATCAAAATAATTCAATTGGGAAATCCATGATTAAAATTGGTTAATAAATCTTTAAAAAAAAAGAAAATTGAACAAATAAATAATTTACTAATTAAATAGGTAAATGAATAATAAATGGTGTTGAAATTTTAATTATTTTCATGATCTACTAGGGAAATGATACTTCATCGTTGTGAACAGGTATATGGTGACAATTTTGGGTGAACGAATGGAAGCCCCTTTGTGATGATCAAATCAACTCATGCTGACCAATACACAAATCATTTTACTGATACCTAAATATCAGTCGCTATTTTGACGTGAACTTAGAAGGGAATCAAATGTGCTAGTTTTTAGAGAACTGTACGTATTCTTGTTTTGATTCCATCTCTCAGTTGTTTATATCATGTTGTTTTGTACGATTATGTAGAGATCCAGTGTTACTGTGTAGCAAAATTATGCCTATTTTTTGTCTTCTCTTACATTCCTACTAACTGTACTTCTGGTTGAATAGAAAATTGAGTCCTATGAACAGCATCGTTTACATACTGAGTAGCAGGAATTACATTCGTAAAAATAAAAATGTTTTCAGTACATAGGCGAAAGAATTGAGTCATACTAACACACATCTCGACTATATCATCAGTATTTTATTAATGATGATTGGTCGTCGATAGTGTACTGTAGTAGGCAGTTTTCTTATTCAGCAACAATTTAAAATGTGGATAAAATACTGCTAGATAAGCTCTAAAAGCGGACAAACCATTTGTGTATTTTTTATAAGCAATAGTTTGCACAAGTATTGTGGCACAAAAAAATCTGGAAAATCATCAGTCAAGATGTTCTGGGATCTTGAAATTGAGATACAAATATACATTAAAGCATTATCAGAACTAATTGATAGACAAAATGGATCCCTAACTGAAATGTACGCAAAGTTCATAAATTAACACTGATAAATGATGGATAAGAAATTAGGAAGGCTTGAGGTAGGTTTGCTTTTCGGCATCCGTTTCCAGGTTATGGATTGAAAATGGACATTGCATTTGGTCTGTGTGAAAGAACAGTAGATTAGTGATAATTAATCATGACATGTAACAATTAAAAGAACATTCCCTTAAAACTACAGTCAACGGTAATCAGCATAACTGATATTTTTACTCTGGCCCCTGACGACTTCAAGAAAGGTAACAAAATTAAAGTTTAGATGTTACTTGATTTTCCGATTGAATAGATATCCGTAAATCGCAGTCAGAAATCGTAGGTCATATTAATTGGGGCAACACTAAATTCATTATATTCAGGAGTTATTCAAGAACATTATTCAAAGACGTATATCATTTCAGTTAAATAAAAATTTATCATATATTTACAGAGGCTATCAAAATCACTGCAGACGTGATTTATACATATTGGAGCAACTTTGTATGCAATTATGATAAGTTAGGCAATAAAAGTTTGGAAGTTGTATACTTCAAAATCATTAAGCTGATTGTTACGATCGGTTGTACATAATTAGCTGGTCCACTCATTTATAATAAAAATGAATAGAGATATTATGTCCATCTTTGGAAGGATCAGTTGTATGTTAGATTGGCTAGTAGAAGGGAGGATGCATCTCTTAGTACTTTATACTGTTATTGAAAACCTTATGAAGAATGATTTGATATCTGAAAGGGTTTTTGTGCTTTCATAATCGAGTTGCAATAATAGTGTGAATTATTTTACTTTATTTTCTTACCTTGTTTCCATTCCAGGTATCGTAGTTTATCAATAGGACAATAGACGAATACAAAATTTTGTTCTCAATAAACATTACACATACAGGTGTTGTTTAAAGGGCATGGCTAAGGTTCTCTATGACGTTTCGGTAATTACTGATTATGAGATTGGTCTTTAATTTGACAATAATTACGTTAAACAACACCCAATAATATAATTGGACACCAAGCACAGATCATAAAAATTATTTATTTTTAAGATTGGGATCACTAATATCAGGACTCATCGCGGAAGCAGTAATGCAACGGCTAGAAACCACAATTCTACCAGTTATCAAACCAAAAATTTGGATTCGTTATGTAGACGACATATTCGTCATCGTCAAAAAGGAGGAACTAGAAAACACCTACAAGCAGATCAACAACGTCTTGAACGACATCAAGTTTACAATGGAACAAGAGTCAGACAACAAGTTACCATTCTTAGATGTATTAATCACCAGAACTGACACAGGAAAACTAGAGACTCAAGTGCACAGGAAGCCGACCCACACCGATCAAATTCTCAACTACAATAGCAACAACCCAAGATCTCATAAAATCAATAGTGTACAAACTTTGTTCAAGAGGTGCGAGAACACACTGCAATACAATCACAGCACGAAAAAATGAAGAAAAACACCTGAAAACCATTCTTCAAAAGAACGGCTCTCCAATCAATTTCATCAAAAAATACCAGTCGCACACACCATCAGAAACGAAACCAAGTATAAAAATCAACAAAAGGATCACCCTACCATACATAAAGGGCATATCGGAAACGACAACAAGACTGCTGAAAACCTTCGGAATAGGTGTAGCTCACAAACCAACAAAGTCCCTCCACTCAATCTTATGCAAACCAAAAGGTGAAATGGCAAAAGAAGACAAAACAAACATCATCTACAAGATAAATTGTACCAACTGCAACAAACACTATACTGGACAAAGCGGACGCCCCCTGCATCTTCGCGTACATGAACACCAATTAGCAGTCAAACGCCACGACATTTCTTTACTCATATCAATACACGTGGACAACTACGGACATACATTCGACTGGGAAAATGCGCAGATTTTGGACAGAGTCAATTCCAAAAATACCAGAGAATTTTTAGAAGCTTGTCCCTCAGGTCAATCAGCAATAAACAAACATATTGAAATCAATCCAATCTATCAACCAATCAAGAAAATTATACAGGAACATAGGAACAAAAATCAAACCAATGGGAGATACAACCAAAACAAAGAAATAAACAATGACAGATTTAAGGTCAATAAGAATTAATCAACATCGAGGTGCAGAGGATAAGCTGTGAATCACATGTGGAGAAATTCAAACACTTCACTTCTACCCGAAGTTTGTGCTGATGATGTCGTTCAGAAGGACGATGAAAGATTCACGACCAAACCATCCAGCTCAGAAAACAAACCAACATCAAAATCACCCACCTGAGCTACAAATCTTCTCCACCATCTCATAACAGTATTCAATTATGAGTCACATATTATGGAATAACTACGGATATTTTACAGTTGTCCAAATTCCAGTGGATGAATGGTCAATGAAACCGACCGTGTACCTCATTGAATTCAATTATTTTTACTGTATTCAACCAGTAATAAAATACTTGTTAGTACTATATCCTTGTTAGTGAATGACTTACCGAAATAATTAGATTTCACCATATTTTTAGTCAACGAATTGATCCAACTTGTTTTACTCTACAGAGTATTCTTAGAAATTGTTAAATTGATCAGCTTCAGATTTTTCACCTCAAACACTAAAATTTAGTCAATCATATTAATATTTTGAGTTCAAAATCCAATTCTTTAAGATATCAATAAGTTTTTGTATTTTCTATTTGATCCCGATCAACTAATAAAATACTATACAAATTTCAATTATTTCGTTCATTCTGGTTTTTTATTTTTCTACTAAAATTGATTATTTAACATGAATATAACTAATATTAAATATTTTGTAAAATAAACAAAAAAAAGAAAGAACGGATGATTATTCTTATTCATTGAAATAAAGATAAGGGTCTATGGGAAAAAAACAAGGAAGAGAAACTGAGTATGAAAAAAGAAAAGGGTAATAAAGAACAGAATATGAAATGGGGTATTTACCTCTGTTTGTTTGTTTGTTTTTGAATAATTTTACATATGCTAATAAAAATTGTAAACTATTAAGTAGTCTATCTTTAGTTATATATATAATATTGGAGAAGTCAATTTTCGGTTAATTTAATTAGAAAGGTTGTATGTCAGTGACATATTTTTTTAAAAAAAAACTGAGTTTCTGATTACATATAACTGAATAAAATTGTGTAGGATTTTTTTGACAGTAATAATAATAATAATAATATTAGTAATGTAAACATAACCTAGAATAATTGTCTCACAGAAGGATTATATGCAGTATATATCTTTTTGAAGAGTAAGGCGTGTAAAGAAAACACATCTATGTGTGAGTGTTTGTAGATATAGGTGTATGTTTGAAAATTCTTCTGTGAAATGTCTTTGGTACATGGTTTGTAAAGTTTTTTTGAATGATTGGAATTGTATGAGCGTTTCTAGTGGATTTATTTAAGTTTAGCGGTCGGGTAACTTGTGTTCATAGTAGAGGTGAGGGATAAAAAAGTAGGGATTAGAATAAATTTACTATATTCATGTTATTTAATGAAATAATAGCAAGAATTAAATTTGAATTTGTTTTTTGTTTATTACCCGACCGAGCTATTACTATACGGCATTGGTTCCTCGATTAACATTTTCCAAAAATCTATTGATATCTTCTTCAGTACCAGTAATTTTAGCATGTCTATAATTACTCCATAAAGTTGCTGTAACATCTAATGCAATTAAATCACTAGAAACTCTAGATACAACTTGTAATATTAGTACACCATCTGGACCAAGATTATAATTTACAAATCGTGTACAATCTCTTTCTTCAGTATTGGAAAGTTGGCGAATAGCTCGGATATATTGTTTTATATAAGCTATTCGTCTAACTGGTACAAGTGTATTGAAAGCCCATTGAAGTGTACTTAATATGGTGACAATTGAAAGAATCACAAACCAGAACCATAAAAATACATATACTTTTTCCACAAAATAATTAATTGGCAATACACATTGAAGAGTATAGCTGTTAAAAAAAGAAAACAAAAGAAATATAATAGGTGATAAAACTGAATAACTTAACATGCAATAAAACGATTTGATCATCTAATCTTTCAAAATTAAATGAACAAGTACAAATACAATGAATTTTTCATTGAGATCATGAATTGTTCAAAAAGTTAAGCCACTATTGAAAATCTAGAAGCACTGGACGGCCGTTTTGTCAGAGTATGGAACTTCTCAGCAGCAAACAACCACGATCCCGCACGTGGGAATCTAACCCATGACCTTTGGTCTCTAGCGAGAACACCTAACCTCTGGACTACTAAGCTGGCATCCAACAGTGTTATTGTTTAACTTCAGCTAATCCACGGTGAAATTTGTATAAAAACAGCAAATTCAAAGTTGATGATTGAGAAAAAAATTTGTTCTGGAAAAGTGACTTCGACAGCTATTTGTTTGAACTTTAAGACAGCTAACAACTCAATGTGAATCTCAATTCCTTTTATTTAAAAATAATAAGCTCGGAAGATGTACATACTTAGATATAAATATTTGGATAATAAATGTAAATAAACAGGAAACTAGACATTTTAAAGTTTGTACTACTTTCTGTATCATTTACCAGTTCAATTACCGAAAAATTCAAAAGCTCGGTTTTATTCTCTTTCTTCTGATAAGCGTTGAACCTTCATACTTCGTTAAATTGATGAGACTTAATTTGAACTGATCATACTTGATGTGACCCTATAATCAATAAATAGTATGATATATATCAACTATTGGAAAAGACATTAGTTAGGCTAAAAATTTGTCAGCTCGTAAATTAGAGCGAATAGTTTCACAGTATTTGAGCGCCGAGTTGATGTAAAACATTAAATAGGAATAATATATTTGTAAAATCTCAGCGAATGAATTTGTAGTAAATCCAACGTTTCGCCTGGCAATCTGGTCCAAGCTTTTTCAAGGAATTATCTTGAAAAAGCTTGGACCAGATTGCCAGGCGAAACGTTGGATTTACTACAAATTCATTCGCTGAGATTTTACAAATATATTATTCCTATTGTTTCTATGTAATTCAGTACTTCTTTTCTTGTTGAAATCAGTATGAGAGATCATCTATACAAAAGTAACTAATCTATTCTTTAGGTGGATAACTTGTCTTCTGAATAGTGTATATTTTTGGATGAATGGATTTTCACTACCTATTTCCGTTATGCAGGCATGTAAAGAATGAATTATTGAATTCAATAATAGTTTTTAAAAATACGGACATGTCTTGTAGACAAAATGAGTTAGGCTACTCAATAATTGAAATAAAACCAATAAATTAGAACAGTGTTGCTTAACTGATTAGTATGTCATTCGTATATAAAGCACAATTGTAAGTAGTAATTTCACCAGCGTAGATTGTAAGATTAGCTTGTCAATCATTTAACATCCATTGTGTTGTCATCCATCCTTATAGGAATTCCAACAGTAGATGTTTGCAATTTAAAGGAAGTGAGTGAAATTGATATCAGTGAATATGTGAATGTCACACTGACAATTAATTTGCTTCTTTAAATCTAAAGTCAACCACTACAAGTACCTTTTACTATAGTTTTGAACGTCATAAAAAATTTTGAATTCTATACGTTTAATTCTATTCCTTTTCATGTTATAAGTACAATTTCTGCTACAAACCTTGATATTTGTAGAGTATTTCGAAATAACTTTATCTTGTAATCTATCAATTGTTTACTTCTCCATGAGAACTCAGCAGTTTTCAGTTTCTAAAAATGTATATACATGTTGACAGTTGTTACAGACTGCATCAAGTGCATCATTATTGTTTAATTTTACGGCTGGTATTCACTGTAGGCTAACTCTAGATCAAAAAATGTTGTTTTAAACTTTGTTTGTTGACAGGCTTTTAGAAACTTCGGTTATCGCGTAGAAACACATACATTTCCATTGTTTAGTATGATATAAAAACACAATCTTGTAAAGCTATTTCGATTGGTTAGACCATACATAAGAAATGTAACTATTCTAAGACAGTGAGAATACGTAAAAATGCGGAATTTTGAAAACTATTCTCTAGAGACTCAGTGGGCCTATTATCTAAGAACTTTTTTATCCTATCTCTATTGCAAAGCTATATTTGACGCATTAACTATTGAGATTTTTTTCACCTTCCGTAAATCACAATTAGTCAATCATAAACCTTTTAGTCAGTTTATTATCATAAATGTCTTAGTTTGTTGGGAATTGAGACTTTGTATTTATGGTGCATTATCACTCATTTTATTCCAAATAATTACACGATTTTTAGTGTTTTATAGTTTATTTAATCATACGGATATACTGACTGGTAATTTAAGTGAGTCTGGAGGTATGGAATGTTTAATAGGCCGTCGTTTTGTATTTACATTTTCAGACGGCACATGGTAAATGGGAAAAATGAGAAGAAAATTCACACGAAATGTCCTAAATAGGCATTTAAATACCTGCCCTTTCCTGTTGTAAGACTCCATTTCTATGTTTGTTCATCGGGAGATAAAATTTAAGCTAACAACTGAAAGATTATTACTTACAAAGATAATGAAAGTTGCAGTTCAAAGAAGAAATAAAGTGATGATTTTTATTTGTTGAACCCATGTCGGAATGAAATTATCTGATGCGCAACAAATATAGACCTTTGAAAATTTATAATATCCTGAAAATTATTTAGTTCATCGCCTTTCTCTAGTCATTTATAGCTTCTACACTTAAGAGTAAAGCCAAAAAATTAACTTGATCAATGTTAAACATGTCGTTTTTTTAACGAGTACTTAACTAAATCCAACAACCAAAAAAAAGATTGATAAAATCAATAAATATACTTTTAGCTAAAATGAAAATTATTTTATTTGCTTTATAAGAAAAATAATTAAATTTTCATAATACACTATTTTATGTTTACATACATACAACAAACAGAATGAAGACGAGATTGGTTTTAAAAAAAAGAAGTCAGGAAGTGTTTACTGCTGTTCAGTTATCGAGATAATTCTCCCTTGGGCATTGTTTATATATATATATATATATATATATATATATATATAATTTTGAAGAGAAACCTGCATTTGACTGATATCAAAATACAGTTTTTACATTTACAAATCGGCATATAATTATCCATTTATTTATCTTTAGAAATTTAATATAATCTTAGCTGTCATTCGTTTGCTTTCTTACGAACACCGATAATCAAAAAGAAAATTATTTTTTTAAATTTTCGGTTTCTATGCTCAAAACTGTAATATTTTCGTTAGGTACATTTAATAATAATTAATCAGGAATTTTCGAGTTCTGTTGTGATCTTAATGTGTGTAACACTAAGTTGATTGGTAAACTATTGTGAATATATTGTGATCAATCAGGATGATTTAATTGTGTTGATGTTTAATGATACAATGAAGGCAGGTTATTTGAAAATGAATGTAAGATTTGTTCATGACGGTTTCATCATAGTTAATAATAAATAGTAAAAGAAAAGGCATACCACAGTGATTTTGAAAACGATTAGAATATACCATAAAATTTATATGATAATATTACAGCTAAGGTATACCAGAAAGTTTTATTGACTACTTGGATTACAACACTAATCAATATCAAATAATATATGATATGAAATTAAAGCTACCGTAAAATGGAGTGAGCATGTTAACATAAATTAATCTCCTATCAGCGACACTAACAATAATAGAAATACAAAATTCAAGAAAACCTTCCAGATTTTCCTCATTTATACGCAGGTCCAGGAGAAAAATATTTCAACTAAAGTATATATTCATCCCAATTTACAGTAATAATCGGATTTCCGGTTAGCAGTATATATATAATCGAATTTTGTTTGATTTACTTAATTATCAGTCTAGGGGTATGGAGATTATCCAGTTTTAATTAGGATCATGAATCGATGAATTTTAGGCCACCATTAAAAACGTGGAAGCACCGGACGGTTGTTTCGTCCTAATATGGGGCTTCTCGGCAGTGTGTATCCATGATCTCGTACGCGAGATCCACCATGTCAGATGTGAGGCAGTTATCTACCAAATACAATTGAAGATGGCCGCGTAATATCACAGATTAGTTGAAGTTAGACACTAACTCTTTTGGGTTCCGGCTCATTGGCATGGAGGTTAAGCGTACGCCCCAGGTCAAGGATCCAAGGTTCTAGTCGCACGTGCGATACCTCGGATGTGCTCTGCTGGGGAGTTCCATCCTAGGACGAAACAATCGTCTAGTGCTTCTAGGTTTCCAATAGTGGTCTAACATTGTTCGGTTCATGATCTCAATTATCTAATTGTGTTTTAAAAATGCTAGAGGATGCTAAGACTTTACTCATCGAGTTATTGATTAACTTTGAGTATATACAATGAGTAAAAAAAATTATAAACTGCTTTTAAAGTCGTATTCGGTTTACATTAATATTTGCGAGCGTTAAATACAACGAAATTATATAACCTCACTCAAATAATTCTATCCAAATTCTTGTCATACATATATATTTAGTTTAGAATATATGTGAACAGTGACCTCAGATTTATTTCCCATAATATGACACAAACAGATAATTAGGAACATAAACTGGTAATCTGTGTTATAATATTGAAATTTAAATAATAGAATGTAACAAAATTATGAAGTTGTCAAAAAAATTTTAACTTTCATAATAAAAATGTTCAGACCAAAGTTTTTGAAGCTATTACCTTTTATTTTTGAAGTATGCCTAACTGAGTAATTTCCACAAAATTATTCTAAGGTTGAAACTTACGTTCTTTCAACTATTGTGGCATGCTATTACTTACTAACCACTTGACTGACTTCCCGATTCACTGGCTGTTGTTATGCAACCTGAAGGCATGACCATGCTTTCGCTATTCATAATACTGAAGGTTGTATGTGTCGCTTACTTTATAGTCTTATGTCAAGGATTGAGTTTAGTCAAATAAGTAATAAATCCAGAAAACAGTGGACCATCTGTTATAAATC